CCCCTCCTCCCAGTCTTCATTCTTATTTGGGATTGCTAGTGCAAACCCCTTGTAGGAGACCTCCCCTTGTGAGGTCTGGGAATTGCAATGGAGCAAGGTGCTCTGCTCCTTCGTGTCCCAGGGAGGAGATGACCCCGCAGTCACACAGAGTATCAGTCATAACCATCTTCTTGCCTTCTGTTCTCATGGGTTGTGGGATAGTTTGCACACATACCTCCTGTCCTAGCCCCAAATAGCATGAGGGAAAAGAAAACCACACCAGTGGGTGAGCTGGTACTCCTCCTGGGCTTCTGCTGCCTGGCTGGCTGTGTTTCAGGAAAAGGTTATCTTTTTCCTTTCACCCCCTAGTGCCTTTGAATATGAACAGGGCTGTGTAAGGCTCATCCTACTTAACATCAAAAGAAAAAAAAAATCCACGTGATTTCCCCTCAAGATATTTTTTAAAGTCTACCCTGTCAATTTTAAACTTAGAAACTGCGAATTTGCTATATCTGAAAGGTGTGGATAACTTTGTTGCTCTAGAAAGCTGTTATCACACTGCTACCTAAATTTCCTTGACATTTGTTATCTACTTTTTAAACAGCAAAACTCTCATCCCATGAATAGTTGAACAACTAAAAATTAATGTTTAGACATTTTTAATACTGTCTTCTACTAGAGGACCTACCTTAACAACTGGAAAGACGTGATACTTAGTAAGACAGGTAATGGGGTTGCTGTGGAGATTAGGTCAAAGTAGGTGTTCTTCATGGCACATGCCAAGAGGATATTATCATGAGCATATTGTGCTTAAAGCTTTGAGAATCCCAAATTAAAGGGGCTTTCCAAGAAGCCACGTTGCTCCAGGTGATAGCAAGCAGCCTGCTAGACGAGCCATGGCCCTCCGTGGAACACTAAGGCCAAATCTAGAAACAAGGACACTTGGAGCTAACCTGTAATTTTTTGCTGTGTGCCAGTCCTGGGCTTGAACTTGGGGCCTGGGCACTATTCCTGAGCAATTTTTCTCAAGGCTACTGAGCCACAGCTCCACTTCTGCCTTTGGGGGTAATTAATTGGAGATAAAAGTGTCGTGGCCTTTCCTGCCTAGGCTAGCTTTGAACCATGATCTTCAGATCTCAGCCTCCTGAGTAGCTAGGAATATAAGCGTGAGCTACCACCAGTGCCTGACCAAACCTGTAACTTTAAAAACCATTTTCTCTTTAGAGCTTGAAATTTGAGGTATTAAATGCTTCTCTTTCTACTACATGCCATAGAATGTTTGTTAGCAACCATTTTGATGCACTATTATGCACTGCATCAGTTTGGCTCTGATGACTCATAGTGTGTGGTTGTGGTAGCCCTGACTTCAATTCTAGGCAAAACCAGGTAGAACTTGAAACTAGGGCTTGGAACTGATTCAAAATGAACTCAGGTTATAGCCCTGGGGATCCCAAACATACAGTTTAAGTAAAACTGTTATATTAATTCATCATTGTTTTTGAGATGACATTCAGACATTCTCAAGCCTCAGGAATTTAAAAAATACTGAACTCAGAAAAAGAAAAGACTGAACCTGGGTTAAAATTTCTCTCTATTGGCCGGAAAGAATATTCTAGTCTTTCATTTCAGAAATGTTCTTGTCTTGAGTAAGTCATAGATTTGCAGCCCTCTTCACGAATGCATAGATCATCCATTACAGGGACATTACCTGTCAGGGCACGTGAGCTCTGCTTAGCTTATGTCTACTTTAGTTGTGTTTGTTGCTTTTAGCGATTGAAGATTTTCTATCAGCAGCTTATTTATGTTGTCACTAGGTGACTTCTTCCATCTCTTTAATGTTGAGAGCTACTACTTGTGGATTGATGTATCCAAATAGCGTAGTGAGTTCAAAGGGATTTTTTGGTGGTGGTTGTTTTTCAGTGCCAGTCCTGGAGCTTGAACGCAGCCTGGGAACTAAGCTTTTGTGCTCTAGGCTAATGCTCTACCACTTGAACCACACACTACATCTGGCTTTTTGGTGGTTCATTGGAGATAAGTCTCAAAGAGCAGGTGCCGGTGGCTCATGCCTGTAATCCTAGCTACTCAGGAGGCAGAGATCTGAGGATTGCAGTTCAAAGCCAGCCCTGGCAGGAAAGTCCGTGAAACTCTTATCTCCAATAAACCACCAGAAAACCAGAAGTGGTACTGTAGCTGAAGTGGTAGAGTGCTAGCCTTGAGCTGAAGAGCTGAGGGACAGCGCTCAGGCCCAGAGTTCAAAGCCCAACCAAAAAAAAAAAAAAAGAGTCTCATAGACTTTACTGCCTGGGCTGGCTTTGAACCTCTATTCTCAGATTTCAACCTCCTGAGTAGTTAAGATTATAGATATGAACCACCTGTACCCAGCGATTTAATAGTTCTTTAAAAAAAAATTAGGAACTTTACTGCTCAAATATATGTATATATGTGTGTTCATAACAATATACCTGTTCACAATAGCAAAAGATAGAACAAACCAGCTATCCCTCAACAAGATGAATAGATTAACAAATGTTGAGTGTGGGGCTGGAGGTAATAGAATATTATTTAAGCCTAAAGAGCAATCAGGTACATTTATGCACGTGTTACAATGTGGGTGAATCTCAAAACTTCATTAAGTGAAAGAAGCCAGACATAAAAGATCTCATATTAGCTGGGTGCTGGTGGCTCATGCCTATAATACTAGCTACTCAGGATGCTGAGATCTGAGGGTTGTGGTTCAAAGCCAAACCAGGCAGGAGAGTTTGTGAGAGTCTTAATTCCAGTTAACCACCTGAAAACTGGAAGTGGCACTGTGGCTCAAGTGGTAGAGCACTTGCCTTGAGCTGGAGAGCTCAGGACAATACTCAGGCCCAGAGTTTAAGCCCCAGGACCAACAACAACAACAACAACAAAAATCTCATGTTTTGTGATTACATTTATATGAAATATCCAGAATAGGTAAGTCTAGGGATTGGCTGTTGCCAGGAGCTGAGAAGAGGAGGCGAGAGAAGTAATTGCTTCATAGGTACAGGATTTCCTTTGGAGGTGATAAAAACATTTTGGAACCAGAGAGAGTTATATTGAGATATGTATTAAGTACTGCTGAGTTGTTCCCTTTCTAGTTACTAATTTTATGTGAAGAGAGAAAAAAAAAGTGCAAGTCAAGATAGAGACTAATCAAGTTTGAGTTGACACATTATGGGGAGAGAGACTGAGCAGATTGTGAAGGCACTGGACATGTTTTAGGTGAGAGACTGTGCTTTCCTCCTAACGTGGCTGATCTCAGTACGACAGGCAGTGGAATCTGTGGCTTTTGCTCAGGAGAGGAACACTGTGGAAGTAGATTCCTGCAATGTCTACATGTGTATAGGAGAATTGAACCAGGGAAACCTGAAGCATGGCCAGCACAGAGGCTGCTGATGCTCAACACACCCAAGCAGGAGATGGGATGGTCCCTGCTTCAGAGGGAGTGTTCGGAATAATAACTGGGCTTCACACTTGCGATGTGCCAGGCAACATTCTGTATGATTGAGCACATTTACTCCTTATAGAAACCCATATAAAGTGGGAAATGTCCTTCCCCCACTGTACCCACAGAGGCTTGCCACGACTGAGAAACTTACCTAAATTTACACAGCTACTAGTATGGCCTTGACTTGAACTCAGGTTAACTTCGAAACCGTTGTAGTTTTAACTGTGATGCTGAGATGAATGTAAGAGATGTTTTTGAAGCCCATTTGCTAACTTCAACTTCAGGTTGAGAAGTCAACACATTTTCCTCTTGAGTAATCAAGAGCTAGCATGAGCCTTGCCTTGGGTCTTCTGAGTAGACATGCCTGGCGAGCAACTAGGCCTGTGGGTGAGAGCTCATGGCCAAAGGTAGAACACCAGGTGAGCTGACCATCAGAGGAAGGAGAAGCAGAAAGTACAGCACGCGGCCCCACCATTTGTCACGCTTCCCACGGTTCACTTAGCCCTGGTGGAGGTCGCTCAGTCACCGCGCTCAGCTCAGATCCAGGGCCAGCTGTGCTCAGCTCCAGCCATCGCTCTTCTCCCGAGTGCCTCTGAGGTGAGCCCGGGCACAGGACAGGCTTTCATTTCTGCGCTCATTCCTGACACGTAAGAGGAGGAAAAGGAAGGCTAGCGAAGCACTGCCTTCTCCGAGGCACTAAGACAGAAACTCGGCTCTGAGGGCAGACTGCCAGTTTCTGTTCTTGCTCCACTTTTTGTTTTCATGTCATATAGTTTTGTCTCATTTAGATTTGTAAGTGTTCCCTATGCAGCTGTGATTAAAAACAACAACCTAAAAAAAACAAAACAAAACCACTCTCTGTATGAGACTTGTAGTCTAGGGGCAGAAGGCTATCAAGTGAATAAAATCCAAAAAGCCTCTGTTATTACAGTGGATTCTCCACCTGCGGCAGTCCCCACCCCCTACCAAGCCCCTTGTCCAGCACTGTGCTAGAGTGTTGGGCTTTTGGTTTTTTGTTCAAAGCTGGCTGGGCAGCACTGGGTTTGAGCCCAGGGCCAGGTGCTCTGTCTCTTGAGCTATACCCAGCCCAGTGTTGGGCTTTTGATCATCTCGTCAAAACCCTGAAGCCCACAGCCTTTCCAGCCCCGTGCCAATCCTGCGCCTCTTCTCCCGCTTTGGTTCCAGCCAGTGCACCTGCATGTGTTCTGCACCCTGCCTTCTCCGCGTAGGGGCCTTTGTCCTACTGGCTCCCCTCCTCACCTGCTCCTTGTCCCTCGTGGTCAGGCGCTGCCCAGGCCCAGGATGCTATTAATCCCATCACAGCTCTCTGAGTGTCCGAGGAAGCATCCTGCCTTTCCAGATGGCCAGACAGAGCACATCAAGGCACAGAGAGGTGAAGAATGCACAGCTCCTAAATGAAGGAGCTGTCCTCAGATGAGCGGAGTTCAAAGCAGGGTCTGATGGAGGCCATCAAGCTCTGCTGCCCTCTGTCAAGAGGAGGAGGGGGAAAGCCTTGCTAACCTCTCTTTCCTGTCTCTCCCCTCGGGCTCAGGTGGAAGTGAAGCCGTACGTGCTGGATGATCAGATGTGTGACGAGTGCCAGGGCACGCGCTGCGGCGGGAAGTTCGCCCCGTTCTTCTGTGCCAACGTCACCTGTCTGCAGTATTACTGCGAATACTGCTGGGCCAGCATACATTCCCGTGCCGGGCGCGAGTTCCACAAACCGTTGGTGAAGGAGGGAGGCGACCGTCCTCGGCATGTCCCGTTCCGCTGGAGCTGAGCCCCGGGCCAACCCAGCCACAAGTACTGGAGTAGATAACAAGGAGGGGAAAGAGAGGGCACTGCCTCAGGGCTTACAGTGTTCTGGAAATCTGTGCATTTGTTCTCGATTTTTAAAGAAGAAATGGGTCTTTTATTATTATTATTAATTATTATTATTACTATTATTTACAGTCATATTACTGAACTCAGTGTCCAGTATAATGCAATGTTGCAGAGTGTATAACGGTACTGATTTGCACTTTGATTCACACCTTCGTCTGCTTGATACCTTAATTTTCTTACACCTGATTTGTCACTTTTGACAGTGCGTAGACTGCCATTCTCATCAGTGGCCATTAGACTGATGTCTGTGACTTTCATTTGTTGTTGTTGTTGTGTTGTTGTTGTTGTTGTTCTGGTTGTTTTTAAACTGGAGCATGCACTTATTTTCAGAAACTTGGAGAGTCGCCCCTAGGACAAGACTTACCAAAGGTAACACTCATGAGTTAGGTGGCAGATGTAGCAAAATTTCCCAATTCAGCATTCGCTAGTGGGGGTCATTTAGAGTAGGGGTAGCCCTTAATGGAAATCAGCCTTTAGTTGCTCTGTATTTTGAGTTGTAAGGATACCTCATAAGCTGGATCTTTCTTTTTTACTTCATGTTTGACTTTTTTGTTTTGTTTTGTTTTGCTGAGGACTTCGGTTAGATCTTTTAATGTTATGTAAATTTATGCTGCAATAGCTTTTGCTGCTATTAAAAATGGTATTGTCAATACCATAATACTCTATTTGGGCTAAGGTATCAATTACAAACAAAAACCCAACAACACACTTTTGTGATTTAGGGATAGAATCAGCTGCCAAAAGGGGATCAGAATGGACTTGAGAAAGCTTCGATGGAAGGTCACTATTTCTGACTGCATGTTTATTTAATCAGGTTGCTGCATGCAATAAATTTTATATCCAATGTCTAGTATAAAACCTTCCCACAATGCACAAATTAATAATCTATATAAGCTATGAACTACTCATTTTTTTAAAAGGAGATTTTTTTTCATTCAAAGAGTTGGTAATGGAGGGGAGGAAGGCATGCCTCAGACAATGAAATGCTGAGTAAGAGGAGCCCATAACAGAATGACTTATATTACAACCAATAGAAAATCTAGGTGTAGGATATTCTTAAAGCAAATTCGTGGACGGTAGATGAAGTACTTTGCGGTGCTCTGTTATATATTGTGCAATTTATTTTATATAGTAAAGTGATTATGTCTAACTGTGATCAAACTTAACTGTTTAAAGCCTCTGTGTCAGACATTAATGAACTTGACAGTTCCTAACTGGTATATTATTAAGTAACACATGAGCTCTTAGTTACGATCTCCTAGTGCTTGTACCATTTTACATAGCTCCAGACCTTGTCCAGAAAACCAAAGAGCTCATCTTAGCTTACAAACACTAAGAATATATACAGTATCTAGAGATAAGTTGTCAGATTGACAAACTAGGCACACATCTTTAAAGAAGTTGTGTAATGGTGATGCTAAAGAAATGTCTGTACACAACCAGATGGCCTGGGTAGAGCTGGCTGTCTGGTAAGAAATTAACTACTTAGTTCCCTGGATGTATCCTGTAAAGCTTGAATAGAATTAAGCCCTGCTAGTACTACCGTGGGCATTTTTTTAGCATTCACTCTTGGGCTGCAGATAGTAACATATAAACACACACAATGATTGCGAGAGTATGTAAATCTTTTTTGATATTCTTCCTATGTTTTGGAATTCTGGGGACAATCTGACTGGATATGACGCTGCAGAGTAGATGCGAGTCACTGTGTTCTTCATGCCGTGACGTCCTTGTACTGTCTGAAGTTAGTATTGTTGATTTCCGTTCTGTTCTTCCTCCAGTGTTTAGTTGCAATTACTGGCTCTCAACCTATAGTTTTGTTTTCAAAAAGACAAAACAAAATAGTAGTAGTAGTAGTTGTTGTTTACTGGATTAAAAATGCTTCTTAGATCCCTCCCCTTTTGAGGTTGCCTCTGGGCTTTTTGGTAATATTTGCTTTTTTTTTTTTTTTTTTTTTTCAGCCCAGGTATGGTTTTGTTTGTTGTTGCTGCTGTTGTTTTCTATGTTTGTGGGTTTTGTTTTGTTTTTTTCATCTGCACAAGAAATTTTGTTATGCACTACTACTTTTTGTATTTTAGACTGTTTTCAAGTTGGCTGAAGATTTTTTTGTTTGTTTTTAAGGAAAATGGCATGCTTTCTGACTGACATGATCTTTTGCAATACCTCAATTTTGAAATATAGGAAAGAAAATGATATTTTCTAAGTAAGTTTATTCAGAAAAATATATATTAATTTAATTCTGCAAGAAAATGATTTAACAGATGGGTAACTTTATTTTTTTCATGATTATTTGTGTTTTTTGAAAATGAAGACGTTAGAGCTTTATAACTATAATATTAAAGATCATATCTAACCTACAGAATCTACCTAATTATGTGAAGGAAGCAAATCTTTTTGAAGAAGCTCCCCTCTTTCATGTACTAAAATAACACTGAGATTTTTTAAAAGAAAAATTTAAGCTGGAAGATTGTACAGCATAAAGCTGAAGTGATGGAAAGAAAAAAAAATGGTCAAGAAGACTAGGTTACAAAAATCAACTCCATTTGGTGCTGGAAGTGGCGGATAGATGGTGGAAACTATTTTCCCTTCATTTGTATATTTCTAATCAAGCGTTGATTGTGCACGACTGACCAGGATTGTGAAAGAGTTCTTCTGTTTGTATTTTTTTAAAGAGAACTTTTTTAGTTTATTAAATTATAACATGTTCCCTTTTGTTTTGTAAATAAATGTGCCCCCCCAAGTTCTTAATGTTATATTAAGAGAGGGTCCTTCAAAAAAAATTATTTTTTAAAACACAGAGGTGTTTCTGACCTGCAGCTTGGCTGGGGAGCCCCCGGTGACACAGGTCCTATGTGGCCTTTCTTTGATGTGACACTTGAACTAGTGGGTTTTTTGAAGGCTATAATCTAACCTCGACTATTTGTTGTTATGTGCAATACTGTTTGTACTGTTTGTATAAAAAATAGAAAAAAAAAGAAAAGAAAAAAGGCATAAATCTTTATTGCAGATTTATTTTCATTGCAAACTTTAGACATTGTGATTCACTGAAATCATTTTTCTACTGTCAAATATGTACCTTTTCTTCATGCTGGTATTTTTTCAATAGTAATGTAGCCTTTGTACTGAGACAAATTTTCATTGTTATTTTTAGAAAGATTTTTTGCTAAGAGAAAAATTAAACATATTTACATATTTTTCATTTTATTTCGTATTTTCTTTAAAGGAGTGCTTTCTCAATCATTAATAGAGTTGTTTCTGGGAGGGACTTTCATATCTGGTCAATGTCATAATATTATTTTGTATTTTTACTTGGAATAAATTAATTTTATGATGCTAATTCTTTAAAAGTTTATTTTTTTCATTTTCAGTTATTTTTGAAGCTAAAACCTTTGTAATATTGTTACTAAAGTGTCTAGTTTTTTGAAATGCAAAGCTTTATGTATTAACTTTCTGAACGTGGTTTACAGTAGCGTGACGATGGTGAGCATGCTTGGTTATGTAAAGTGACTGGAAATGTACTGCATACTTGGGTAATAAAATGACAGAGTGAGCAGAACGTGAAGTTTGGACAAGCCTTTTCCTTTATTCCAGTGGTTCAGTGATGTCACAGTACAGGTCTCTAGGGATGTCACAGTGGATTTAGGCAACACCAGGTGTGGCCAAGTGTGTGGTGGCCCCTTGATGATGAAGTCACCCCTCCTGAAACGCCACTGGGTTCAAAACCCTAGCCAGGTCAACAATGCTTTTCCCCTCCAACTCTCCACATTGTGTGTGTGCGGGCATGCGTGTGCCTGTGTGCGTGTGTGTGTGCGCGTGTGTGTGCGAATCTGCCACCAACTGCTGTCCACGTGTGACACGGTGCCTTTCCTTCCCAAGTCTCTAGACGCATGCACAGTGGTCACATCTGTGAGAAGACGCCACCTTCTCTGTAGCCTGTACTTCAGTGTGTCACTTCTCTGTAAGCGACAGCTGTCACCACTGTACATGGACACCCTTGTGTCAGGCTGCCTCTTCCTCCTCACCCATGCCTACTCCCTGTTATAGCGCCCCCTGCCTTTGATTGTGGCAACACATGGAGCCTGTCCATGCATGATCCTGTCTGTCCTCCTGCTGCTGCCTTTCCAGCCCCCACCTCACCTGGAAGCCCCGCAGCACATGCCCTTAAGGCAGCACGTTGTTGCAATGGCCCCTAAAACTGCAAAATTGGTGTTGCGTAAACAGACCATCCAATGACTTGCTCTAGATAGACGCTGTGTTTCTGCTGGGGCTGTGGCCTCTTCCAATACCGCTGCTGTGGCGCGAGGGTCATCAGTAACTCAGAGAAACGTGTCCAATGTTGGCTCTTGGGTACGCTCTGTGTATTCAGTTTTGTAAATACTATATAGATTAGATCAAGTTGTGATGTAAAATTTAACTCACATTGGATACTACTGGTTGGAATTTTACATTAACTACAACTAAATGATTAGGAACAGAAGAAAAGAAATTGGAAAAATTCTTGTTTAGTGGTATAAAGATTATGCTTAGATTTCTGCCTATATCTTGTGTTTTATAGCTTGTTAGTGAGACATAGGCCAATGCAGAGTGTACTGCATTTATGCAATTAGCAAAATAACTGCTAGTTTTCATTTTATCTATTGTATTAGCAACAAAATGGCACTTAACTGGGTAAAGCTCCTACCTAAATATTTGAGTATTGTGACATCTCTACTTGCAAGGTTTGAATGAAAGATTAGTCACAGATTAGGTGTTTGTTTGTTTTTTTTAATTTTGTTGTTAAAACTGGCTTCATTGTATAGGTTGTTGATTTCTCACTAGTTTGTATGATCTGTCAGCTAACATTTCTGGGTTTTTTCTTTTCTAATAATCAAACTTCTCTATCTCAGCTGCAATAGTGTTTTATCTTACCACAGAGTATTTTATAATTACTGCTGTTGACTTTATACCCCCAAATGGGTCAAGATTCTGTGATTCAGGGATGTTTAAATTGTATGTCAAAAGAAATGAATTGTGCAGGTAGAAAACTTGGGTGCTAACATATGATAACTTCTTTTTTTCTTTCCTGGAAATAGTTCTGTTGGGGTATAAAGTATTAGGTATTTGTATTTTTGCTGTCAAAATAATGGACATAACTTTTAGAGTGTTCCCAGCTAAGATCTCTGTATTTGTTTTTCAACTAACAACTAATTTTAAATGTATTGTATCTTTTATTACCTGTTCTCTTGGATCGTTTTCTTTTTTTGTTGATTTTTATTTTATTTTATTTTTTGCTAGTAACCCTATTCAGCTTCTGCCATTGGGGCTTGGACTAATTCTGCTTGTATGGGATACAGTTCTGTGACTAAACATGGAGCTCAATGCAGCTATTGCTTACAACTGCTTAAACTTTGTAGTTTGGACTTCTTTTTTTTCTGTAATAACAACTTATTAAATCTAGTTGTATAAAGTACCGACGCTTGTCATCCTTTGCATTCGCTAAGGAATGAGTTTGGTGTATTTGGTGTGTATCTGGGGAACACTCCAATTTTGTAGACTAGCTTTGGAAAACAAAAACAGACCCCTGTGCAGCACCTACTCTGCAGCAAAGCGGACAAAACTGACACTCATTAACAAACAGTCTACATGTCTGATGCAGGAAACAATTTGGTTGTTGACTTGGATGAATGTGTTCCTTGCAGGGGCTTTAGAGCGCGCGCGTGCGCGCGCGCGCGTGTGTATGTGTGCGCACTCCCGTGTGTGTGTGTGTGTGTGTGTGCGCGCGCGCGCGCACTCCCGTGTGTGTTGTGTGCGCGCGCGCGCGCACTCCCGTGTGTGTGTGTGCGCGCGCGCGCGCGCGCTGGGTTGGGGCCCAGGGCCACCCATATGAAATTCACTTACACCTGAGCGAAGTTGGGGTCTTCATCGCTGGTACTTTGCCAGCATGAAGCCAGCTTTGGACATTGCAGTCAGAAACGTGAAGGGAGGGGTGTGAGGGAGTGCCCGCGCCTCCATTCCGTGCTACACAGCTACAACAGGCTCTCGATTGATTCATCTTTTCAAGAAAATCGGGAAAGGGAGAAGACAAAATAAACACAAAATGGCTCCTTAGAGACCGGGCGCCTCGGGAGGTGCAGGGCTCTGGGTATTGTCCCAGGCGGCCCCACCCGGGGACCCAGCGGGCTGCGGGCAGGGGCTGCGCACCGCTGCCCTGAGCCACAGCGCCACTTCCGGTTTTCTGGTGGCTCATTGGAGATAAGACTTTCCCGCCCGGGCCGGTTTTGAACCGCGATCCTCAGAGCTCAGCCTCCTGGGTAGCTAGGATCTCAGGCTGAGCCCCGGGCGCCCGGCTGGGTTTTCTTTCTGTAAGTCCCCAGGGCCAGGTGCGCTGGAGCCCCGCGCTCGGGAGCCCCGCGCTCGCGCTCACGCCGGGCGGGGCTGCGGGGAAGGGTCCTGCGCCATCGACCCTGCGAGCCCCGGAGCCCTCCGCCGCACAGCGGCTCGGGAGTGGCTCCCCAGCCCCCTGGCCACGGCTCTCCAGGGATCCTGGGGTCTCCGCCCACAGAAGCGAGGCCCATCCGAGGTGGGGACGGAGGCGCCCGGCCCGGGCTGCTCACGCGGGGCCGTGGCTGTGGCCGCAGGAAACTTGGCCCTTTGCCACCTTCGGTTTGGTGATTAACAAGAGACCAATAGCGTACAGACCGACGGATCCATGACAGCCCTGGCAGCTCGGATAGAGAGGATGAAATGGGGGCGCGGAAGGCCTCTAGGGGAAGAAAGACTATGGAGCCCAGGGGCTCAGCCCACCACGGCCTCCATCTTCTTCCTGGCCGGCAAAAATTCCCCCAGGGCCAGATGCGTGATGACCTCAGTCTCAGTCCTCAGAGAAAGGAAGCTGGGAAAAAGCCTCGTGCCTCTGCGGGCTCAGGCGGATCCAGACTCGCGGGGCAGGGAGCACATGGCCTTCCTCTGCCCACGAGTTGGGGTCTCGGCTGATGTTCATATCCAGAATAAGCAGCCTTGGCTATGGCTCTGTACGTTGCCTCAATGTTTAGTTCTCTTTTTGCTATTTTTTCCTGTCACACTTTTGGCTCACCTGCTAAGTTTGAGGGGCTGTTGCTCCCTGAATTCACCAAATGCTTACCGTCCCCCTCCCCCCACCCCCCCAAATTCTGGAGCTTCAATCTACGCATGCTAGGCAAATGCCCTACCACTGAGCTACACCCAAGTCCTTCTGTTTTCATTTTTGAGACAGCACTATTTCCTCTTCTTTGTTGGGGCTGGCCTTCAAACTTGTGATCCTCCTGCTTTTGCTTTTTGGTTACCTAGGATTACCGGTATGTGATGCTATATCCAGCCAAACCACTCTGTAAAACTCCCTTGGCAAGTCTGGCGGGCCTGGTGTCTTTGCAAAAGACAGGCCCTGTAGCTCACCACTGGCATCCGTCAATAAAAGCAAATCACAGTACCTATGCATATCGACTAGGATGACTAAAACAAGGGCCTGAAAATGCATGACTTAGGAAAGATCTTGGTAAGTACTGGTACAGGGGCGAAGTATGTAGCCACTTTGGAAAACGTCTGAGAAAGCTGAATGTATGACCTTTGGCCCAGCTTTTTCACATATAGTTCCCAACAGAAATAGGTCAAATGAGCCAGGCATGTGGTGGCACATGCCTGTAGTCTCAGCACTGTGTGGCAGGAGGAGCGAGAATGCCAGGCCAGCCTGGCTGCCTAGCCAAACCCTGTCTCATAAACAAAAATTAAGCCGGGCGCTGGTGGCTCACGCCTGTAATCCTAGCTACTCAGGAGGCTGAGATCTGAGGATCGCGGTTCAAAGCCAGCCAGGGCAGGAGAGACCGTGAGACTCCTATCTCCAATAAACCACCAGAAAACCGGAAGTGGCGCTGTAGCTCAAGTGGTAGAGCTCTCGCCTTGAGCTGAAGAGCTGAGGGACAGCGCCCAGGCCCAGTGTTCAAGCCCCAGGACCGACCAAAAAAAAAAAAGCAAAAATTAAAATAAACGACGTAAGTTAAAAAGAAAACCACATTATAATGATCACAGCAACATGTTTATATAAGCCCCAAATGAAGCTATCCAAATACTCTGAATTGTTAGAATGGATAAATTATACTGCATTTGCAAATGGAATACTTCTATCAACAGTAAAGATGATGACCTACAAGCATATGCAACATTAGTCAGAGCCCACAAATTAGTGTTGATCAAAATATCCTAGATGGCTAGGGTTGTAGCTGTAAAGCACAAGCCTAGCATGCCTAAGGCCCCAGGATCCATTCCTAGCATCAATCAATCAATCAATCAATGGCAACCACAAAAAGACACATAATATTTGATTTCATTCATTTCACGTAACTGGGAGTATGAAGGCGGCTTCTAGGGTATTGGTGACATTGACTTGGGTGATGGATACATTAGTGGTGAAGGGAAGGGATAGGGGTCCCTCACCTCAGTTCACATGCCAATCAATCACAGGAACTTGAGACCCACAATGAAAAGCATTTCAAGGGATCTCATGAGGTAGAAGTTGAGCCAGGATTTCAGTAAAAGAAGATCAGAGAGAAG